CCATCCCCATGACTGTTTTTTCACACTTACGACCATTGCAGCATCCCCCGTGGTCACGTGATCAAAATTCAGATGCTTGGCAACTGACTGGTGCTTATGACGGTTGTAGTGTCCAAGGGTCACGTGATCCCCTTTTGTGACCTTCTGACAAGCAACGTCAATGGGGAAGCCAGATTCACTTAACAACCATGTTAAGGGGTTGCAGTGATTCACTTACTGACTGTGGCGAGAAAAGTCGTAAAATGGAGCAAAGCTCACTTAACAAATTTCTCACTCCCTCCATTGTGATCGTAAGTCGAGGACTACCTGTACATTAAAAAATACTTGACCGGAAACGTGTGCCCAAATTTCAGAAATACTGTTGTTGTTGTTTTTCCTCCAGAATACAGCTGTACAAAAAACTGAACCTGTGACCTCTCTCTCTCTTTTTCTCTTTCTCTCTCTCTCTATGCCACAATATTTTTATTCACGTGGCTAGTTGAATAAAATATTGGCTTGTGACCCCTTTTGGTTTACCCTCTTTTTTTTCTGTTTTCTTGCTTTCTCTTTCTGATGGATAATCACAGTCCTAAAGGGCAAGTATATAACATTCTTGTTGCTAATTTCCCTCTGTGTATTATTGTTGGTGTTGGCCATTTGTATTTCATTTTTCCTCTCGGCTACCACCCTTTGTATTGGTCCCAGAAGGGTTTTTTTTGGTTTTTTTTTTGCAATGCCAGCTGGGTGTTACAGAGGCCAAAAGGCTAAACTGTGTCAAAAATTACACTACAGCCCCGCTCTCTTTGCCCCATTTGTGTTCCAGTGTCTTGTCACTCTCTGATCCTCCTGTGTTCAATTCTCTCACTTGCTGTTTTGCAAACAATCTTCATTTTATTTCTGGACTGGAAACTTTATGCATTTCAGCAACCCTGAAATGCAATTATGCTCAAATAAACATTAACAGAGGGATAGAATCAAGATCACGTGAAGTATTAATACCACTTTACAAGGCCTTGGTAAGGCCACACTTGGAATACGGCATCCAGTTTTGGTCACCACGATGGAAAAAAGATGCTGAGACTCTAGAAAGAGTACAGAGAAGAGCAACAAAGATGATTAGGGGACTGGAGGCTAAAACATATAAGGAACGGTTGATGGAATTGGGTATGTCTAGTTTAATGAAGAGAAGGATGAGGGGAGACAGGATAGCCGTGTTCCAGTATCTCAGGGGCTGCCACAAAGAAGAGGGAGTCAAGCTATTCTCCAAGGCGCCTGAAGGCAGGACGAGAAGCAACGGATGGAAACTCATCAAGGAGAGAAGCAACCTAGAACTAAGGAGAAACTTCCTGACAGTTAGAACAATTAACCAGTGGAACAACCTGCCTCCAGAAGCGGTGAATGCTCCAACACTGGAAGTTTTTAAGAAAAGACTGGACAGCCATTTGTCTGAAATGGTGTAGGGTTTCCTGCCTGAGCAGGGGGTTGGACTAGATGACCTCCAAGGTCCCTTCCAACTTTATTATTATTATTATTATTATTATTATTATTATTATTATTATTATTATTATTATTATTATTATTATTTGAGCTAGGGCCAATTTTTTCAAATGCTTTTGGTTTGAGTTTGAGATTCTTCTTCTGGGTAGTTTCAGTTGCTACGTGGTCAATCTGAGCATCCTTGATGGTGGTAGAGAATGCATCCCGCACCCATCCTCCATCGCAAATGATGAAAGGGCTGTTGTGATGTCACCGTGCTAACTCTGCTTCCTTTGTACAGCTGAGCTTGCTTTGTGACATCACGACACACCCGTTTCTTCCCGTTTGCCCAAATCCCTGGATTCAGCAGATGCCTCCGACGACCGTTTAGCTCACTTTTAAGTTGCACCAATTTTATATTGTGCTTATTTTCCTAAGTTGCCATTTTATAACTGGATCTATTCCACATCTAATATGAAAACGCCGATCTTGAGTTATAGTCATTAGGAAAAAAAAAAAAGATGACCTGGTCATCTGAACACCAAATATGGTTTGTGTTTCATCCGGGTTGTCTGGCCACAGTACCTTACGTAATCTCTTGAATTAAATGTGGAATTCATCCAGGTGGTTTTTGTGGTTAAACATTTTCGCCTGTCACCCAGTGGTCTCGAAAGGTGAATTTAGTTCATTTAATGTTTTGCTTTCCTTTTTGCAGTTATTGCAACCCTGAAGCGAGAGTCCTTTGATGAATTTGGATATACATTTTTAGCACCCAGGTTAGTACATTTTGCTGCTCCAGGTTGCCAAGCATTACATAATATCTCTTGACTGACGTGCTAACTACTTCTGGAAAAATAGAACTATCTAGTAAAGTAGAGCAGACATGTCAAATTCATGACATCACATCAGGACTATTTTGCCATTGCTGGCAATGGGGTGGGCATGGCTTCCACGTGATGCGTCTGGCCGCCCTCCTTACTAGCACTGATGATGTTCCCTAGTTGGGTAATGAAACGTCTGCAAGAAAACAAGCAAGCTCAGAGAGCACCAAGGACCCCCCAATTCTGTGTTTTGTATACAGGTAGTTATCAACTTATGACTGGTCCCTTAGTGGCCATTCAAAGTTATGACAGAACCCCCCACAAGGTACTTTCAGCCTGGTTTTGAAGTTCTGATGTCCATCTTGGCCCCCTCCCACAATCACATCACTGGATTTTGGTCACTTGGAAACCGGCCCATATTTACAGCTGTTGGCAACATCCCACAACTGCACAACTGCAATTTATGATGGTTTTTTTGTCACAAAAGTGGCGGTTACTTCTGATTTGGGGCAAAACATCTCATAGGTGGACAATGGGCTTGTTTAATGACACACAGATTTGGTTGCAGTGGTTCTCTTAATGAGCATTGCAAAAAAAAAAGGTCATAAAATTGGCTCGGTCACATGGGTGACCTGCTTTACAACTGTCATGTCTTATGACCATAATAGGCAGCCTCCATTAGGATCATAAGTTGAGGATTACCTATGTCAAAAAGTATGCAATGAGAGAAGCAAGGTTAAGACCTCAGAGAAATCATTAATTTCCTAATAAGAAATACTTGGAATACTGCATCCATTTTTGGTTGCCATGATGTAAAAAAGATGCTGAGACTCTAGAAAGAGTACAGAGAAGAGCAATAAAGATGATCAGGGGACTGGAGGCTAAAACATATAAGGAACGGTTGCTGGAATTGGGTATGTCTAGTTTAACGAAGAGAAGGACGAGGGGGGACAGGATAGCAGATTGCCCAATGCAGCAATGTGGTACAAACTTTCATCTTTTTTATTTACTTTTTTTAGGGACTACTGTAGCACAGTGAAAATAACAGACAATAATACTGTATTTCTTCAGAATTTCATTGAATTTATGGATCAATATTCACCCGAAAACCCTTCATGTAAGTATGGCCTTTCAATAAATTACTCTCTTGCAATAACACTGAAAGTGCATCGATTTAGTTAAAACATAATAATGGAATCAAACAACACACAAAATTAAAATAGCATGAAACCAATCTGAGAATGCAGAATTTCACCAAATATGAGTGACCTGCCAGTATGGTGGAAAACATCTGGATCTTGGGAGACGGGACTTCATATCAGAGGGACAAAACAGGGAACATGTGCTTCCAATGCCACTGTTAGATGCCACTGTTTCATTGAAGGAACTTGAGCATGGCAACCCTACCAGATTGAAGCAGTTGGGCAGATACCAAGGGAGATAGATGGTTCCTCAACTATTCAAGTCCTATGTCAGGTGGGAATGTTCTGAGATGGATGGACTGATGATCTTACCAATCTTGTTCCACTATTAATAATTTAATAGTAGTAGATAAATGATCTTCTCTTCTCTTCTCTTCTCTTCTCTTCTCTCCTCTCCTCTCCTCTCCTCTCCTCCTCCCTTCCCTTGTCTTCTCTTGTCTTCTCTTCTCTCCTCTCCTCACTTCCCTTGTCTTCTCTTGTCTTCTCTTCTCTCCTCTCCTCACTTCCCTTGTCTTCTCTTGTCTTTTCTTGTCTTGTCTTGTCTTCTCTTCTCTTCTCTTCTCTTGTCTTCTCTTCTCTTCTCTTCTCTTCTCTCCTCTCCTCTCCTCTCCTCTCCTCTCCTCTCCTCCCTTCCCTTCTCTCCTCTCCTCTCCTCTCCTCCCTTCCCTTGGCTTCTCTTGTCTTGTCTTGTCTCGTCTCGTCTCCTCCCTTCCCTTCCCTTCCCTTCCCTTCCCTTTTATTTTATTTATTTATAATTGCATTTATATCCCGCCCTTCTCCTTCCCTTCCCTTCCCTTCCCTTCCCTTCCCTTCCCTTCCCTTCTCTTCTCTTCTCTTCCCTTCCCTTCCCTTCCCTTCCCTTCCCTTCTCTTCTCTTCTCTTCTCTTCTTGTTTTATGGCAGGTAATGGCTTGGTGATGAGAGCTTTGTTGGATGCTGGCTTCACAAGTGAACTGGTCCAGAATTACTGGAGTAAGCAAGACCCGTGAGTATTCCTTCTTTGCTTCCTCTATCCCATGCCATGAATAGCTCTGTTTCTGAATGTTCACGCTTCCTTCAACTATCAGATCAGAACTTACTGTTTGAATAATCCAGTCGAAAGAAATAACATGGTTAGACGAAGGATGTGCACGTTTATTGTTCTGCTTTAGAGGAACATTCTAGAATGTTCTCAAGAAGGCTGGCCTATCCTTCTATATTGATGTTGATCTAAATCTTTATCTTTCCAGGGAGGGAATTACGGCACGCTTTGTAGTTACAGATGGAGGGATCACCAGAGTATATCCCAAAAGGTAAGAAGGCCATTTAATCTTGAATAATGTTAACAGTGTTTGCTAATGATTAACATGCTTAAGGATCTGATTTGAGGCCAGAATTCCATTGACACTGTGAGAATGAATGATTAAAATATTAAAATGAATGAACGAACCAACTAACCAACTAACCAACTAACCAACTAACCAACTAACCAACTAACCAACTAACCAACTAACCAACTAACCAACCAACTAACTAACTAACTAACTAACTAACTAACTAACTCCAGAAAAGCTAGTGCCTTGATTTGATGGGTAGAATAAAAATTAAATCAATATTTTTGAACTGTAAATTGCCCAGAGTCATTGACTGAGGTGGTGGCTATAGAAATTGATTGATTGATTGATTGAATGAATGAATGAACCTCAGAAAAGATAATGCCTTGATTTCCCTAAGGCTTACTTTGAGTGTAACCAATTTTTTATTTTTCTCATAATGCATTTTTTCTGGATCCTCATTAACTTTGCGTCAGCCTTATGGGATAGACCACGTCAGGAAACTGAATTCATAGGAAGACTAGAATAATGCTTTATTGAGAGAAGATAACAGGAACAGGAATCTTGCACAACTGCTTGTGTTTTCCTTTCACCCCATTTTATTCTCCAAGGAGTCAGGGGAAATCAATTTGAGTCCCTTTTTAACCCTTCCCTACTTCCCTGGGCTTAAAACATGCTTTTTTTCTGCAACTGTTGTCACCTTAACAGCTTCAGGATGGCTTGGCCAAGCCCCACCTGCCTGGCTCTCTACCTTGAGTAACTTGCCTACAAGTGCCTTACCAGTGTTTAAACAAAAAAATCCCAGGGAATCACAATTAAAAAAATTAATATCTGTATCTTATGTTTAGTGCAGGCGAATATTGGACAGAAAATTCTGAAACTTATGAACAGAGCTTCTACAAAAGGAGCTTAGATAATGAGAATTATATCTTCACGGCTCCGTTCTTCAACCGTAAGTCACTGGGCTCTCACTGTTTTTACAGTCTTTTACAGTATAACAATAAGACGTTGTTGTTGTTGTTGTTGTTATTATTATTATTATTATTATTACTATTATTATTATTATTATTATTATTATTATTATTATTATTATTATTATTATTATTCCTAATGCATCAAGATCATCCGAAGTATCAGTGCCGTTGATAAAGAGACATATCATAATGGCAAGTCAACTCTGTTTTCTTTTTTCTTTTTTGAATGCTCAGGAAGCATCAATGAAGATGGGATTATGGTGAGCAAGGCTGTGAAGATCACCGTGAACGGAAAACTTCTCAAACCAGCAGGTAGGAAAGAATGGGATTCTCCTTCCACACAGAAAACAAAACTCGTTATGGAACATAGCAATTCAATACCCATACGACAAAACCAGTGTTCAGAGTCATCTAAGGGGGAATGAGGTTTAAATTCTGGAAACCACGAATTCCAAGGATGGTGTAAGAAAAGAATGGCATTTCCAGATAGATATATGATGACAGATAGATAGATAGGTAGAAGATAGATAGATAATAGACAGACAGACAGATGATGGATGGACAAAAAAATAGATAAATAGATAAATAGATAGATAGATAGATAGATAGATAGATAGATAGATAGATAGATAGATAGATAGATAGATAGATAGAATATGTCAGAACATAGATAGATAGATAGGTAGGTAGGTAGGTAGGTAGATAATGGATAGATATAGATAAATATAAATAAATGTAGATGATAGATAGATAGATAGATAGATAGATAGATAGATAGATAGATAGATAGATAGATAGATAGATAGATAGATAGATAGATAGATAGATAGATAGATAGAATATGTCAGAACTGATAGATAATGGATAAATAGAGATGATAGATAGATAGATAGATAGATAGATAGATAGAATATGTCAGAACTGATAGATAGATAGATAGATAGATAGATAGATAGATAGATAGATAGATAGATAGATAATATAGATAATAGATAGATGATAGATGATAGACAGACAAGACAGACAGACAGACAGACAGACAGACAGACAGACAGACAGACAGATAGATAATTTTGCAATGTTGATATTTTTATTTTCTCATGCTACATGTATTTCTTGCCAGTTGTTGGAGTAAAAATCAATCTGAGCAGCTGGATGACAAGTTTCGCGACACTCACCACTAAAGATCAGGTGAGTTTCGTAGGCTTCACCTTCAGTTTCTCCAGAGCTTCTTTTATAGAGCTCTTAGGAGCTCTATAAAACATTAAAATTACCGAATCAAAGCCTGTATAGCTCCCATCCTGTTGAGGTTCCATAAAGCTTGAAGATCTGGTTCTTCTTCTAGGCCGTGGGGTGAGAGAGAAGAGGCCTCTTGTTCACTGGGTCTGTGTTATTTTTGTTTTCTATTTATATATTTTGTATATTTGGCCTGGATCCCGTCTTGGTTTCGTTTGGTACCCGTGCTTGTGTTACTACTGGTCAGCCGCCCAACGTAAGGCAGCATTCCAACTGAATTAAACAAATACATAAAAGAATAAACATCCGTATACCCTCCAAAATAAAAAAAAATGAGGTTTCTATTTATCACTATTTATCTTGCGAGTACATCTTATGTTAAAGAGAAATTACGATACTTGAAAATTAATACAATTAAATAAAAAAAAAACTTTCAACAGCTATATAGAAAATATAAAAATATATAAAAATTAAAACTCAGGTGGAATTTAGAACACTTACGTGACATATTTGAGGCCTAATAAGTAGCGGGTCTGAATAGCTTTGGCCAAGAACAAATCATCAATTATTATATGAGGGGTCCTTGGTGCTCTCTGAGCTTGGTTGTTTTCTTGCAGATATTTCATTATCTAAATTAGTTAACATCATCATGACTAGCATTACCAAGGACCTCCTCTTCCTCTTCCTCTTCCTCTTCCTCTTCCTCTTCCTCTTCCTCTTCCTCTTCCTCTTCCTCCTCCTCCTCCTCTCTGCAAGCCCTTCTTCCTTCTAGCACTGATGATGTTCCCTAGTTGGGTAATGAAACAACTGCAAGAAAACAACCAAGGTATTTGCTTCAGAGAGCACCAAGGATCCTCATCTCAACACTGAGCTACAAATAGTATCCTTATATTGGTATCATTGTATATGGCCCATCAAGATTATGGCGTATCGATAAATGTTCAGGTATTTGCAATTTCCATCTCCTGTGATTGTAGTCTCATATCTTCAAGTTCTTCTTGCATTGTCATACCTCTGTTCTCAATCTGTTCAAAGTTTTCCATATTCCATATTGGAGATGATATCCCAGCACTTGATCTCTAAAAGCAACTAAACTAGGGATAAACTACTCTGAAATTATTACTGTTTCACAGGTGAGATGGGCAGCCATGTAAGCCTTTGAAATAAATACAAAAACGTTTATATATATGTTTATGTTTTTCAAAATTTGGATTGCTAACAAAGAATTAAGGGAATACTGGGATAGCTATTTCTAACCTTATTAGGTTTTTCATCAGCCAGACATACCCTTGCTGAGATTCGAACCTGGGCTGTCTGCATGTTAAGCAGAAGTGTTGCCCCTAGGCCACAGGCTCTTTCTCACTTTGTTAGCTACAAGAGACAGGGGAAGAGGATGAATGCTTTTTGAACACCCTGTCGGCCCAAATATGGGGGAGAGAAATCTTTTGCCTGTATCAGCTCAATTTTGAAAAACACATATGATGTCGCAGTTAAGCGACTGCTGCCTGTGGATGGCTCTGGATTGAGCTGATACAGGCAAAAGATTTCTCTCCCCCATATTTGGGCCGACAGGGTGTTCAAAAAGCATTCATATATGTTTATATATATATGATTACACACACACACACATATATGCAGGTCTTGGCGTATTCAGGTCTTTTCCCGTGTAAGATTGAGAGTATCTTGGCGACGTTTCGACGAGGTCCCACTCGTCATCTTCAGGCTGGGGTCTTCGGCTTCGTGCTTGTGCGAGTGGAGTGTGATCGGAGCTGCCGTCTCTCTATATATATTGGTGGGGGTGTGTGGAGTGCTGGCTTAGTTGCTGTAGGTGGATTGGCTGGCTGTGTGGATTGATTGGCTGTTATTGTTTGCTGATTGTTCAGCTGTTTCGTAACATCCTGAGTAGTTGAGGTGCTGGCTGTGTGCCCATTAGTCTTTTGTGTTATAACGACCTGGGTAATGGGTTGTGTGATTACACCCTAAGATCTAGTGTAGTGATATCCTGAGTTTTGTGTTGCAACATCCTGGGTGGTTGGCTGTGTATATATATATATATACATTGCTCACAAAAATAAAGGGAACATTTTACCATGGAACTGAAAGGGTTTGCGTTCCCTTTATTTTTGTGAGCAGTATATATATATACTCTGGAGAACCATAACTCTGTAAAACCAGAGACTTGTGTGCAATTGGCAAACATGGATTTTTAAGAGGTTTTTTATTTGTTACTCATGATAGGTCAAAGAGCAACCTAGTGAGTCCAAAACTGTGGTTGTTGTTAGTTGCGAAGTTGTGTCCGACCCATCATGACCCCATGGATAACGTTCCTCCAGGCCTTCCTGTCCTCTACCATCTTCTGGAGTCCCTTTAAGCTCACGCCTACTGCTTCAGTGACTCCATCCAGCCACCTCCTTCTCAGTCATCCCCTTCTTCTATTGCCCTCCATCTTTCCCAGCATTAGGCTCTTCTCCAATGAGTCCAAAATTAATCCTATGCAGTTCCTCAATCCTTGGCGTGGCCATCTTTCCAATGGAAATTCAAACATCAAGCAGAAGACATTTTTTTCAGATGTCCCCAATTTGTCCATTGTGCAGATTAAGGCTTTTTCAGGATAACTGAAGAGAAAGTTGTGCTGTCCACTATTAAAACATTAAAAATAAGAGTTTATGGGTTTCTTGATCCAGCATCTTGGGAAAATGTCTCCCAGATTGGATAATGCCATGCGTATTGTGTCTTCGTTGTTTTCGAAAGAGGAATGGTTTCACAAATGCACTTGTGCTTACATTTTTTCAGTGTAAAAGTGGAAGTGAAATTTGCGGGTGCGAAAAAGACAGTCAGGTAAGAAGACAAGGAATAGATGCTTCTTTCGCCAAATAAACTCATTGTTAACAACTCATGTGTTTTAAGAGTTGATAACTGGACAATTATATGATGTCGTTTTGGATTCTCAAAGCAGCTATGTCAACGTTAAGCATTAACCTGACTGCAGGGTCCAATCTGGGTCGGTCATTGGGTGTTGATGGCTGGGTATTAAGTCATTAATACGTTAATCAACACCCCAATCAACATCTAAAAAGCCACACACAACAGGCACTATTTAAATATCACACACAAAATAGCCCAAAGCACATATTCCAGCTGAGAGAAGTTCCCTCAGGATGGTCTCCAGAACATCCAAAAGCTCGGAAGACAAAATCTCTGGTCCAGGTGTCTAACCCAAATTGGATCCTGCAACATTATCCTGGGACATGTAGATTCACCTTCGTTCGTGATTAACATTATGTTAATCTTGCTAGCATTAAGATCTGTGGTTCGAACAAACACATTGCAAATCAAATCTGCAGGCAGGTTTATGTTCACCAAAATAAAAAGAAACATAAATGTCCATTGGGCAACATTTATATTTAATAATAGTAACTCTCAGGAAATGCTTGAAACTGACAGCATGCCATCCTTTTAGCTGGTTTGAATCCCGAGTGAGAAGAATAGCACAATTTCGTGTAGGTTAATGTTTCCTTGCAGGAAATTAATATTTTCTGACAGACGTCCCATTGTAATTTATTCCCAAAATTCTCCAAGGATTATAACTGACAGTATTTTAAGATTATCTAACCTGTGAATAAGATCTTGCATTATTATTTTTTCTGTTTATACAGGTAGTCCTTGACTTACAATGGTTCATTTTAGTGACCGTTCAAAGTAACAACAGCACTGAAAAAAAACCCTGACTTATGGCTGTTTTTTACACAACCAATATAGTATTCCCAAGATCACGTGATCAAAATTCAGACGCTTGGCAACTGACTCATATTTATGACCGTTGCCATGTCCTGGGGGTCACGTGATCCCCTTTTGCGACCTTCTGACAAGCAAAGGCAATGGGAAAAAGCCAGATTCACCTGTTACTAACTTAAGAGCTGCAGTGATTCGGTTAACGACTGTGACAAGAAAGGTGGTAAAATGGAGCTAAACTCACTTCACAAGCGTCTCACTTAGCAACGGAAATTTTGGGGCTCAATTGTGGTCGTAAGTTGGGGACTACCTGTATTCAGTTAGACCAGGGGTAGGCAACCTTGGCTCTTTTATGACTCGTGGACTTCAACTCCCAGAATTCCTGAGCCAGGCATGCTGAGGGGAAAGGGAGAGGTTTCCAAGCTGAGCCATGCTGGCTGAGGAATTCTGGGAGTTGAAGTCCACGAGCCATAAAAGGGCCACGTTTGAAGACCCCTGGGTTAGGGGGACACGATCACCATCTTCCAGTACTTGAGGGACTGCCACGGAGAAGAATTGACTTATTTTTCAAAGCACCTGAGGGCAGGACAAGAAATAACCATTGGAACATCATTAAACCTAGAACGAAGGAGAAATTTCCTGTCATTGAGAAAAATCAATCGATAGAGTTGTGGGTATTTCATCTGTTGAAGGTTTTCAAAAATATCCTGGACAAACACCTGACTGGGATGGTGTAAGGTCAGGGTAGGCAACCTTGGCTCTTTTATGACTCGTGGACTTCAACTCCCAGAGTTCCTGAGCCAGCCACGCTGAGGGGAAAGGGAGAGGTTTCCAAGCCGAGCCATGCTGGCTCAGGAATTCTGGGAGTTGAAGTCCACGAGTCATAAAAGAGCCAAGGTTGCCTACCCCTGAGCTAGAAGATAAATCTCAATAATTACTTAGTTACATTCTGTGGTTCTTCTTTCTGCTAGCATATCGATTGTGTCATTCTTGATGATGGAGGATTTCTTTTGATGACCAACCAAGAAAACTATTTTCCAGAGGTACGTGTTTGAATTAAATGTGACGCTGAATACCTTATTAATTAAGCAGTGTCTTTTAGGAAATACACGCAGTAGTTACTCTGCGTGAAAACTGACCTTTGGGTAAAACCTTTCGTTTTGCATTAGATTGGAAAGTTCTTCGGAGAGATCGATCCGGGTCTCATGCGAAATCTCATTAATATGTCCTTGTATGCCTTCAACAAGTCTTACGACTATCAGTCTGTTTGCGATCCAGAGGATGAACCGAAACAAGGAGCGGGACTCCGCTCCATCAACGTGGTCAGTATGCCTTGCAGTTTTCCATCCAGTTTTGATTCCTATTGCTTCGGATTTATTATGACCACTAACCAATGCCAGGGTCAAATGTAAAATGATAAAATACCAAGGAAAGTAAGAAATAAAGTAAAATATAGATGCGAAAGGGCACAGAAAGGGTGCAAGGAGCCGTGGTGGCGCAGTGGTTAGAATGCAGTATTGCAGGCTGACTCTGCCCACTGCCAGGAGTTCGATCCTGACCAGGTCAAGGTTGACTCAGCCTTCCATCCTTTTGAGGTTGGTAAAATGAGGACCCAGATTATTGGGGACAACAGGCTGACTCTGTAAGCCACTTACTGTAGAGAGGACTGTAAGGCACCACAAAGCGGTATATAAGTCTAAGTGCTATTGCTATTGCTAGTAAGTGAAATCTACAAGGTGTCAAAAAGAGATTTAAAAAATGGCAGGAGGTAGAACAACCAGCCTTATAAATGATGGTGAAGATATTGCTATATGAATAGCTTCTGCTTTTAATGATCAACCATCAATAGTCAAGAAATATATTACACACTTGCATTTGGTAAGGCAGCTATAAAGACCTTGGAAATTATATTCAAGGGGCATGATGTGTCTATACCTACAAAGATCAGAACTGTGCAAGCTTGTGTTAAATGTCCGTGGAGATTCTCAGTCATCCAGGTCATGGTTGTCCCAAAGGTGCTTTTTCCAAAAGGCAACTGGACTTTCTTGATGTTTTCTTTGAAAACATTTCACTTCTCATCCCAGAAGCAACTTCAGTTCATTTCAAAGTCCAGTTGTCTTTTGGAAAAAGCACCTTTGGGACACCAAACAATTCTATTTTTTTCGATATACAACTGTTGATTCCTAGGGACCACATAGTTAGATTTTTTTCCCAAGACATTCTATCCCTAAACTATCCCTAATCCTCCAGCACTTCCCACGGTGTGGTAAGGGCCCCACAATATTAGTATGTTAAGAAAAACTTTATAAAACATAACCTCCCAGCAACAGTGAGGCAACAGTGAGATTCCATAAATCAAATAAGTTATTCAATATCTGGAAGTTGGGGGGAGACAACCCATAGGTCAGTGATGGCGAATCTTTTAGAGACCGAGTGCCCAAAAACTGCCCCCCACCCCCATCCCCGCTCTGCCCTGCCCACTGGGCCACCCACCACCTCCAAAGCCCACCACAGATGACCCAGGCAGCCCAGCAGCACCGTGGTGGCCACGCCCTCCGCCCGTGTCCCGCAGCATCATCTGCGTGCAACGGGGCGCAAGGGCAGAGTCTTGTCCCCATTGCCCAGCTACCATGTCCTTGGCTCCGCTGCTTTGTGTGGGCCATGCCCAGGGGCAACTCTCCTCCGGGGGGGCTGCTGGTGGGGAGGGGGCCGTGGGAGGAGGCGGGGCTGGGGAGACAGTGTGTGTGCCCACAGAGAGGGCTCTGAGTGCCGCCTCTGGCACCTGTGCCATAGGTTCGCCACCACTGCCATACGTGTTTTTAGAGATTCTTCTAAGATTACGCTCTTTGCTTCCTCTTTTCCAGCCTACAATAGCAGATATTTTACATCTTGGATGGTGGGCCTCTGCAGCCGCCTGGTAAGTTAAGTTTTTTGCAGATAGGATTATTACACATTTGAGCTTCGCGAAGGCCTTGATCAAACTCGGTGAGTAAGAAGAATTAGTTCCCACCGATATGCCAAGTGTGCAGACTGTGATCACACGACTGTGGCCACCAACATTTCAAAATCAGGTCATAAGTAGCTCTGGGGAGGCCCGTCGAAAGTTTGAACAGTCATTAAGGAGCACCTGTAGTTTGACTTCAATACAGGTCATCCTCAACTTACAATAGCTTGATTAGTGACCATTCAAAGTTACAACGGCACGGAAAAAGTGTGACTTATGACCGTTTTTCACACTTACGACATTTGAAGCATCCCCCCAGTCACGTGCTCAAAATTCAGATGCTTGGCAACTGATTCATATTTATGACGGTTGCAGTGTCCCAGGGTCACGTGATCCTCTTTTTACGACCTTCCGATAAGCCAAGTCAGTGGGGAAGCTTAAGCTTCACTTAACAACCATGTTCCTAATGTAACTACAGTGGTTCACTTAACAACTGTGGCAAGAAAGGTCACAAAATGGGGCAAGACTCACTTAAAAAATGGCCAGCTTAGCAACAGACAATTTTGGGCTCAATGATGGTTATAATTCCAGAATGACCTGTCCTTCACCTCCTCCCTCCGACTTTATTGGTACAGATTTGCAGAGATGAGAAAGGCCCCACTGATGATATGTGACCAGGATAAAAGGAAAACATTGGATTTTAAAAATCAGTGGAAAGAAACTAGATTGAGAACATTTGTGGTCTTACAGATGTTCTGTGTTAATGATTCACGACTGATCAAGGGAGCATAAGCAGAGAATGGGGTGGAAGGAATGTCTGGTGGGGAGGTGAGAAGGACACTATTGTTGTGATTCCTCACCAGCCAGTGGATTCGGCAGCTGAGTCTGAGAAATCAGAGGAGGAGGAGGGGCCTGGAGTGACATCAGAGTCAGAGGAAGGCTCTGGGGAGCTCCAAGACTTACAGTTGGAGGAGGAGTCTGGCCCCTCTATTTGCGATCAGGCTGAGACACAGCTGTGCTGGGAGCCTGAGTTGGACAGTGATGAAGAACAGCTGGGACAAATCCAGGATGCACGAAAGCGCAGGCAAGATAAGCGAGTAGGACAGAGGAATGCAATGGGGCGGCTCCAAAGGCAAAGGAGAAGGCATTAGGAAGCCACACCTTGGCTGAATTATAAAAGGGAAGGTGTGGGAGGTGCTGGTTGCCGAAGGCAGCCGTTCGTGTTGAGGATCGAGTTTCTGTGGACTGCGTTTGTTTGCCTTGGACATTGACTCAGGTCTGTGAGAATAAAAGGGGTTGGTTTTTTCTTGTGGTTCCTGCCTGTTTCTTGGAAGAGGGGTTTCTCCTTGTGAGCTTAACAAGGACTCACGTAGGCTGGGACAGAACAACTATCAATTTCAGAAAGACAAAGCTACAATAATTGGAGACTTGAACCAACCTAGGTACCTTTCTTATTCTGCAATCTTATTGAGAGAGGTCAGGCTGTCATAAGATACGATTCTGTGGGAAATCAATCAGAATAGAGTTAGAAGAGACCTTGGACGACTTCTAGTCCAACCCCCTGCTCAAGCAGGAGACCCTATACCATTTCAGACAGGAGCATATCCAATATCTTCTTGAAAACCTCCAGTGATGGATCATCCACAACTTCTGGAGGCAAGCTGTTCCACTGGTTAGTTGCTCTCACTGTTGGGAAATTCCTCCTTAGTTCCAGATTGCTTCTCTCCTTGATTAGTTTCCATCCTTCTCTCCTTGATTAGTTTCCATCCATTGTTTCTTGTCCTATGTTCAGGTGCTTTGGAGAATAGGTTATCCCTCCTCTTCCTTGTGGCAGCCCCTCAAATATTGGAATACTGTTGTCACGTCCCCCCCCCCAGTCCTTCTTTTCTCTAGACTAACCAAACCCAAATCCTGCAACCGTTCTTCATATGTTTTAGCCTCCAGGCCTTTAATCGTCTTAGTTGATCTTCTTTGCACTTTTTCCAAAGTCTCAACGTCTTTTTTGTAATGTGGAGACCAAAAACTGGATGCAGTATTCCAGGTGTGACCTCACTAAGGCTTTATAAAGCGGTACTAATACTTCACGTGATTTTGGTTCTAGGATTGTATTGGCTTTTTTGGCTGGTAAAATAGCTTGATTCATTTTACCACGCCATCTTGTATGCTAGGAAGAGGAAGGGAAAGTTTATAGAGTGGTAACATTAACATAGAAGATCTAAAATAATAATAATAATCCTTGGACATTTTTGCAAGTGAAGGGGAAGTGAGAAATAAAATTCTTGGCCAATGTGTACTTCTGCTCTGCTCATAATTTAAGGGTTATTTGGTTTACCCATTGTCTAATTGGTTTGTAGATTTCAATTTCCTTTCCTTAAGTTCTCAGACAGATATAGATATTACATTATGGAAGGTTTTCATTTTCCAAAAGTTTTACATGACTTCCACCTGTCCTTTAGAGGAGGGGAGAATTTATGAATTTTGACACAATGTACTATCTATCCTGTCCTGATGGTTTTACCCATATTGATTTCTCCAGGCAGTAAAAAAACCAATGTTGTTTTATTTAAAATACATTGGGTATAAATAGCCCCGGATCTTAATAATAATAATAATAGTAATAAAGTTGGAAGGGACCTTGGAGGTCATCGAGTCCAACCCCCTGCTCAGGCAGGAAACCCTACACCATTTCAGACAAATGGCTGTCCAGTCTCTTCTTAAAAACTTCCAGTGTTGGAGCATTCACCGCTTCTGGAGGCAGGTTGTTCCACTGGTTAATTGTTCTCACTGTCAGGAAGTTTCTCCTTAGTTTTCGGTTGCTTCTCTCCTTGATTAGTTTCCATCCGTTGCTTCTTGCCCTGCCTTGACTCCCTCTTCTTTGGGGCAGCCCCTGAGATATTGGAACACTGCTATTATGTCCCCCCTCGTCCTTCTCTTCATTAAACTAGACATGCCCAATTCCAGCAACCGTTCCTTATATGTTTTAGCCTCCAGTCCCCTAATCATCTTTATTGTTCTTCTCTGCACTCCTTAAGAGTCTCAACATCTTTTTTACATCATGGTGACCAAAATTGGATGCAGAATTCCAAGTATTTCTTATTAAGAAATTAATGATTTCTCTGAGGTCTTAACCTTGCTTCTCTCGTTGCATACTTTTTGACATAGGTAATCCTCAACTTATGATCCTAATGGAGGCTGCCTATTATGGTCATAAGACATGACAGTTGTAAAGCAGGTCACCCATGTGACCGAGCCAATTTTATGACCTTTTTTTTTTGCAATGCTCATTAAGAGAACCACTGCAGCCATCAAGCAAATCTGTGGTCATTAAACAAGCCCATTGTCCACCTATCGGATGTTTTGCCCCAAATCAGAAGTAACCGCCACTTTTGTGACAAAAAAACCATCATAAATTGCATTTGTGCGATTGTGGAATGTTGCCAACAGCTGTAAATATGGGCCGGTTGCCAAGTGCCCAAAATCCAGTGATGTGATTATGGGAGGGGGCCAAGATGGACATCAGAACTTCAGAACCAGGATGAAAGTACCTTATGGGGGGTTCTGTCATAACTTTGAATGGCCACTAAGGGACCAGTCATAAGTTGATAACTACCTGTATACAAAACATGGAATTGGGGGGTCCTTGGTGCTCTCTGAGCTTGCTTGTTTTCTTGCAGACGTTTCATTACCCAACTAGGGAACATCATCAGTGCTAGAAGGGAGAGGGGTATGTGAGGAGGAGGAGGAGGAGGAGGAGGAGGAGAAGGCCTGTGAGGTCCTTGGTGCTCTCTGAGCTTGGCTATTTTCTTGCAGATGTTTCATTACTAAACTAGGCAACATCATCAGTGGTAGAAGGGAGTGTGGGAGGGAGGGAGGAGGAGGAGGAGGAGGAGGAAGAGAAGAAGAAGAAGAAGAAGAAGAAGGAGGAGGAGGAGGA